AGACCTGCAGGAGGAGATGAGTTGGATGATGAGGAGGAGGTGGTAGCCAGCCATTCTTCATTACCTTCTTCATCATCATCTTTGAAATCGAGCCCTGCGAAAGGAGAAGAGTCTGATGATGATGAGGAGGAAGTTAGACATCCTTCATCACCTTTGAGATCGACGCCAGCGGAAGGGAAGAGCCACGGCGAAGGTGAAGTTAGCCATTCTTCGACGCCTCCATCATCATCATCATCATCGCCTTTGAAATCTAGACCTGCAGAAGGACACGAGTCCGATGATGAGCAAGAAGCGATAGCTAGCCGTTCTGCATCATCATCCTCTTCATCACCTTTGAAGTCAAGTCCAACGGAAGGAGAGGAGTCTAATGACGAGGAAGGGGAGGCCATTCATTCTTCAGCACCTCCATCATCGTCTCCGAGTACAACTCCGTCGGAACCGCTGCCACCTTGGAAGCCTTCCGAGCCATCCTTGTCCCCCTCGGAGCCTATGAAACCGTCCAAACCGTCTCAGCAGGCGACTCAACCTTCACCGGGTAGCGATGTCGCACCCACACCATCAACTGCAACTGCCATTTTGAAACCTCTCCCATCATCAGAGCCATCATCATCGTCACCGTCTCCATCTTCTCTCTCTTCCTCACCCCCACCTTCAGAGCCCATTCTGCCATCGCTGTCTTCTCTTAGTCCCGAACGAGTACCACCATCTTCATCATTATCGCCTTCGCCTGTGTCTCCTTCTTCAAAGCCGGCACGTAAGTCTGCTGCACCACTGTCATCAGTTCAATCGAGTGAGGAACCGATCGAGCCCGCTCATCCTTCAGAGGACCTGGTGGTACTAGTCCCATCCCTGGTCCCATCAAGCAGTGCAAAAGTCCCACCTTCATCGATGGGACCTTCGAGCGAACCCCCAGAGAGCTCTCAGGTTCCCAAGCTACCGCAATCTTCCTCCCCGGTCTCGACACCTCCAGCTTCATCAGCCCACGCAAAGGTGTCCTCCATTCATCCTTCGGTACCCATCAGCTCGGTCTCCCAGTCAATGCCATCGCTCGAGCCTGGAATGGTGTCTAAGTCAGTTGTGCATCCTTCCCTTCCTGCCTCGGCTGCCATATCCTCTGTGTATTCTGCTGCCTCTGCTGCTGCCTCGGTTGTTGCCGAGTCTGTCCCAGGCTCCGTAGCTGAAGGGTCCATGCCTGTGTTCATCTCCAGCAGTTACCCTCCTGTGCTGGTATCCGGCGAAGGTCGAATACCTGATTGGATGCCTATCTTGGAGCCTTCTTCCACGCCTGAATCCGTGCAGGGATTGACTCCTCCCTCTCTCTCCCATCCCTCCACACCTGTCTCTGTCCCGAATCATCCTGTCAGCCAGGTGATTTCCTCCAAGTCCTCACCTGCTTCATCTGTGCCAGCCCCCCCAGCGTCTCCCTCAGAGCCCGCCACATCCTCCCCAATGCCCGTGCCTGCCTCTGAGTCAATCCTTGTTCCCGTCTCTCAGGTTCCCTCGCCTGCAGTGCTTGATCAAGTTTCCTCCTCGGCTCCCTCGTTGGATGCCTTCGTCCCTGCTCCTATATCTGGGCTTCTTCCACCCGCAGCTGCCTCTGTTCCCGCCTCGACTGGCCCAGCCATGGCTGCTTCGATGCCTGTGCCGGCTCTAGTCTCCGCCCCGGCATCCACTGTGGCAGCACCTCCTGCATCTGAGAGAATGGCTCCATCTGCTTCTTCTGAGCCGCCCAGCCTTGCCTCACCAATGCCGTCAATCCCTGACTCCATGACTGCACCCGTCACACAATCCACCGCAGCTCCGTCCACCACCGAACGTGCTGCTGAGCCATCAGCTGCAGGCTCGGTGCAAGCCCAATCACCGGCGTTGGCCAGTCCATCGGCTTCAACTCCTGGCTCCATGACTGCACCCGTCAAAGAATCCACTGCAGCTGCAGCTCCGTCCATCGCTGAACGTGCTGCCGCTGAGCCATCAGCCGCAGGCTCGGTGCAAGCCCAATCACCGGCATTGGCCAATCCATCGGCTCCTCCCACCTCGGTTGGCTCTTTGCCAGCCATAGTCTCAGTAAACTCCCTGGCTATGTCATTAAACAGTCTCATGTCCCCAGTCTCAGCAGTGGCTCCGGTTTCTGATTCTCCCATGCTGTCGTCTCCAGCCTCAGTCAACTCACCGGCTCCTGCTACAGCTTCAGTATATAGGCTTGCTCCGACATCGACCGACTCTCCTGTTCCTGCCTCAGCTACGGCCTCATCGCCAGCCTCACTTAATTCACCAGTGTCAGCCCCCTCAGCTACACCCTCCTCACCAGCTTCGAACAACCCACCAGTTTCAGCCTCACCCACAGCTTCATCACCAGCCTCAGTCAACCCACCAGCAGCTTTAGCTTCCGCTGAGCCTTCCTCACCAGCATCAGTCAATCCGCCTGTTCCTGCCTCTGTCAGGGTGACCCCCTCATCAGCAGCAGCCTCTGTAGTCCTGCCATCGCCAAGCTCAGTGAACCCCTCTGCCCCGGCCTCGGCCACACCCTCTTCAACCGCAGCAGCCTCTGTAGT